GTGGATTTTTTAAAGGATATTAAAAGGACCATAAACGTGGATTTTTTAAAGGACTATAAACGTGGATTTTTTAAAGAACTATAAACGTGGATTTTTTAAAGGATATTAAAAGGACCATAAACGTGGATTTTTTAAAGGATATTAAAAGGACCATAAACGTGGATTTTTTAAAGGACTATAAACGTGGATTTTTTTAAAGGACCATAAACGTGGATTTTTTAAAGGACTATAAACGTGGATTTTTTTAAAGGACTATAAACGTGGATTTTTTTAAAGGACTATAAACGTGGATTTTTTTAAAGGACCATAAACGTGGATTTTTTAAAGGACTATAAACGTGGATTTTTTAAAGGATATTAAAAACGTGGATTTTTTAAAGGACTATAAACGTGGATTTTTTTAAAGGATTTTAGAGGATATTAAAAACGTGGATTTTTTTTAAAGGATTTTAAAGGATATTAAAAACGTGGATTTTTTTAAAGGATTTTAAAGGATATTAAAAACGTGGATTTTTTAAAGGACTATTTACTAAGGATTTTTTAAATAATTTTTAAAGGACCATAAACCATAAATCTGCAAAGCAGCTTTATGAGTAAGTTCACAATAAAAAAATTACTTACGCAATCTCCGGCAACTCCAGTGGGTTGCTGAAATCTCTAAGAACTTTTCTCGTCACCTTTTCTGAGCGTTCTTCGTCCAACAACACAAAAACTACCACTGCTGATGCCATCTTACTTTATTTATAGCGACTTATACCTTTTTTATTTACTTTACTTTTACTGATATTTGAATGACAAATAAACATACTACACATGTGAGCCACAACAGCTGTTTCGAACATTGGTTTTATTTACATTCTAAATTGACAAAACCAACTTGGTTTCATGACACCAAATGAAACCAACATTGGTTTACAAAAACGACAACATGGTAGAATTACAAGGTAACCCTTTCAGGCCAGCTGGTATCAATTTGATATGTCAAAAAATTGTTGTAATTTGAATTCGCCTTCATTTACACATAAGAAAATTGTTGCATGATTTCAAACTTTAACAATGCTATTGATAGAAAATCGAGATTTTACGTTTTTATAGAGTATGAGGGAAAGAGTGTATATTCAACATATGGTAGGCATATGTAATATGGAGATCTAAAATTCGTGGATATTTGAAATAAGTGAAACAGGGAATCAATTTAATATATGAGATAAACCGATACATGGAATTTCATTATCTTATTTGTACGGATTTTCAACTATGTTATACACTATAGGGCTTCAACAGTGAAAGGTGAATGATTCCAAAGCATATTGGATTGGTTTGGGGAACAAAACATTGGCAATTTTTGGGGTGTGATTAAATATTGAGATAATTTTTTTATTTCAAATTGTTCGAATGTATTAAAGTTATCTATACATAAAAAACTTCCTGTCTGCTATACATTTCATAGCTAAGCAAATAATATGCGTGGACGCACAGTAGACTCAGCCCCCTGTATCTTCTGCAATCTTTGATCCAAATCTTAAGTAAGCCTGAGGAGTAAATATAACCTAAAGTACCTTTTAGGTAGCATGTCACTACAGCGAGAAAGCTGACGATGTAGCAAAAGAAAAAAGGCTACACCCCAGAACCACCACAAAACCTAATTTTAAAGCATCAAAACTAATTTTCTGGATATTTTCTTGTAAAGAACATTATGGCTGTTGAATATGAAATCAACGTTGCCAACGTTACCAAGACTGCAGGCTGTGTAAGCATGATGAAGAGATAACAACGATTGGACATCTATTATCGCAAATGTCCTTCGTTGGCGCGCTGGAAACTATGTATTATGGGCGATCACTCCATTTCCAGTCTATGTGATTTTCAAAAATGTTGTATTGAACGTGCTACAATCAAACCAATATGCAGCGGCTTTAGCATTACTTTCAATCGATGTTGGAAGTTTTGAATAATTGCTTTTGTAATAGAAAAAACAACAATTTTGAAAAATTTTAATTCAATATTTTGATTGGAAAAACAATTTGCCCCAAATTTTGTACTTCAAATCAATTCGCCCTGACTACAACTTTGACATATCAAGTTTCCAAAAAAGTTGCTTTGTTGTAAATTTCGCCTATGTTGCTACCTGGTATTTCTACCATGAACGACAATAAGCAAAACCGACATGGTTTCTGTGACAGCCCTGAATATGTCCAACAATTAACAAATTTTTCACAAATCCGTGGAAAATGTGAGGTACCGTTGTATGAGGGCTATACGAAAACGTAGACCTATACTTGCAAATGTTCCACAACTAGAACCCATTATGACCAACATATGCCAATTTTTAGATATCAAAACACCTACACATACAATATTTTGCCACTGGAGCTAAAACCCGTTATGACCAACATATACCTATTTCTAGACAAATCCATGGAAAAATGTGGTAAATGTGGTAACAATAACGAAAACGGGGACCTATACATAAAATGTTCCGCCTCAGAACATTATTAAATCGACTTATAATTTTATGGTGATCATGAATATATATACTTTGTGGGGTCAACGACGAATATTTAGGGTTGTTACAAATGTAATGACATTGTTAATATGCCCTCCTTTTCATGGAGGGTATAAAAATACGAGACGTACTAAAAGCTTCAAAATACCAAATTTGACCGATCGATAGGAGCAGGAGCGCATAGGTCATACATTGCAAGATTTTCGGAAATGTAAATTTAGGTTTGTGAAAATATATAAAAATAGTAAATCATCGAGTTGGGTTTGGAAATGCGTTTAGCGAGGGTACGAAAGTTACTACATGGTACTAACTTTGCCATTGCGTGAATGGATACTGAAATTTGTAAGGAATTAGAAAGTGTGTAGAATTAGATTTGGAGGTGGTTTTGGAAATACGTACAAAAAATACCAAACGGAATTACCTTTGGTACCATTTGAAATTTTGTGAACAGAGACATTTGGAGCGAGAATAAATTCTTCGAAATGATGTTGTACTAAATTTGGTATAATTCCGTTTCGAACGAACGGAAGATAAATGGTACAACATTTGATAATTAGATTACTGATGGTATCAGTGTTCGAAATTCGGCGGTGGTTTGGAATTTCCTCTGTATTTGTACGAAATCTACTAAATGGTACTTAATTTGGTATTGGGGAATAGTTATTAAGGTGTGGAGGAGGTTTTAGATATGCGTACTAAAATTTTACTATAGTACTCAAATTAGTAATGGGGAAAATTACAGAGCTAAAATTCTGAAATTTGATATTAAGGTCACTTGTGGTATCTGCGTACTATAGATGTTCGAAATGTACCTAATTAAACTAAATTTTGTATTGGGTGAAGGGACAGGGCTGAAATTCTGAAATTTGACGTAAAGGTCATTGTTTGTTTCTATGATTTACATAAGAAGTCATTGAAATAACTTGAGACAAAAAATAGAAGGAGAAAATTGTGAAGACTGTTTGGTGTTAAAAGTAAACATTTTCCTATTTTTCTTTTCGAAAAAGAAAAACAACTGAATAATACAGCATGAGATAAAAAAAAACTGCAATAAAATCAAACGCAATAATTTTTAATTTTTTTAATTTTATTGAATGGAAGCAAAAAATGTCGGAAATAACTTCAAATTTTAGAATAAGTTTAGATTTGTTCGAATTTGTAACCTTTGGCACGAATTAAGGCCTTCACAAACTGCCCGAATGTTGCCCTGCGGTATTTTGGTCCATTCCCGGCGAAGCGCTTGTTTGAGGTGATCGACACTTTGGTATTTTTTAGTGCCAACCTTGCTTTCCAAAATACTCCAGACACAATAGTCCAAGAGGTTGGTATCCGGAGATTTTGTTGGCCATTGCGCGTTGGGAATGATGCAAGAAACCTCATTTTGTAATCATTCATGGGCGGCACGTGCTGAGTCCTGTTGGAATGTCCAAGGTCTGCGGAGAAAATGTTTACGGGCCCAAGGCTTTAATACACCCTCCAGGATATTTTCGCGATAATATTCTGCATTTATTTTGATGCCACGGTCGATTAATGCGAGCGGAGAGCGACCATCGGCTGTTATGGCGGCCCACATTTTCACATATTGTTTTTTCTGTTGCGATGTAAGTACTTCCACTTTTTGGAATTTCAATGGTTTTATCCTGAGCTCATTTTTCAATATTTGCAAATGGAATATTGCGATATGTTCGGATCACGAGCCGTTTTTCGGCCACTGCGACGAGGGTTTCGATCAAGTTGCTTCTTTACTTTTCAAACCACTTCTGCTGATGTTGCTGTTTTCTTCCGTTCACTTCCTTGACGTCGGGCTACGCTACCAGTATCACGGTAACGAGCGATGGTACGAGATGGATGCTGGAGTGCTCAAACGATAGCCACTTGTGGTTTTCCAGCCAAATATAAATAAATCACATTATCACGCTTGAATTCCATCACATATAACTATTTTTCTGGAAAATTCTCTCCAAAATTCTTTTGTACGCTTGTAAACAATATAATGAGCTTTCACTGAAATAGTTTTAACAGCTGTCGGACGAGTGGCTTTGAAATGACAGCAGTCTGAAGTTGGTTGCAGCTTTTCACCCTGTATATCAAAATGTAAAAAATCTTGTATGGAACATTTAAGCATGACAACTACCAATTAGATACACAACAAAACTACAATACCCTTTAAACTATTCACAAAGGAGCTACTTTCATTACTGAGCAAATCCTTTATTTTGTTAGCAGTGATTTGATTGAACTTCACTGAATTACCCACATTTACACCCCTTATTCATTCTTCTTTGTTTCTCTTCTTTGTGACCAAATCAATTTGTTTTATGCAAATATGAGAGGAAGAAAAAAATCTTTTGCACCTGGAACACCATAATATTTGTTTGGCTTATTGCTTGTTTATCTAATTTCAATTTTCATTTCTTTGTCATGCTCCAGTAATGAAAATGAAAAAAAGAAAACTTCTCAACTAAGAGAAGCAAAATCAATATTGCATTATTTACCTTGTAAATATTTGGATTGCGCTTCGAATCAGTCAGAGCATCAAAGACGGTATACAGTTCGTTTAGCATTTTCACAATTTTCATGGCTCCCTCGGGATCGGTGTTCTCGGCACAGTATTGGCCAAAGCCCACAATACCAGAAAACATTAACGTTACCGAATCATAACTGCAATGAAAAAAAAAAAGAAAACAACAGCAAAACAGTGAAAGAAGTGAACACAGCATCCAAATGAAAAGAAAAGTGGAAATTAAATGCAACAACAGCAAAAAAAGAAAATTCAAAAACTTTCCTTTTTTTCTTGTCAATGGGTTTGGATGGTCTAGTTTTTGAGTCGTAATCATCAATGCCAGACTACTTCGCTCTGTTTACTTACCGCTTTGGTGCCACCGGTCTTTGATGTCTCAGTTCATTAGCCACAGATTTTGGGAGTACCGAGTAGAGAAGTCTATTTGTAGTGGAAAAGAGAGAAAAAAATCACAAAAAAAAGTGTTGTGGTTAATCTATCCACCACCGAGCAGTTTGTATTGCCAATAAAGTCTAATCCGTCGGCTTGTTTGTGTTACCAAGCCGACGGATTAGACTTTATTGGCAATGTTTGCTAACTGGCCAACTTACCTATCTGTTTTTTGCTTTTCACTTTCCAAATCCCTAAAGGTTTGTTGCAATTTATCTGTGAGCATTTCCAAATTCTTGGTTAATTTATATTCGGCTTCAAATTTTTCAGACAGCAAAACCAAATCCCTTGTGGCATCATGCAGGGGTACATCGGAGATGTGTAAGCCTTTTCTGTAATGTTGAAAAGTTTTGAAAGAGTAAAAAATCACTATTTGTTTAAATTAAATTAATTTTGTTAGATTTTTGTTTTGGGTATGCTGAGTTTCAATTTAGTAAAATATACTCAAAGACTGAGAATGATTTTTCTATGGAATACTCTAAATATGTATTTTTTGAGACACTCTTTGTATTTTTGGTATGTTTAGCCGAATTTATTTATCATCAAATCTGACCAAACAAGTACAGATATCCTATTGACTATTTTCCAATTAAAACCAGAAATCCGTGTTCAAATTGTAAAGCTGAGATTTTATGAGAAAGATAGGAAATTTTTTTGTAAATCTAATATTTCTTACCATAAGGAGAATTTCAGAACCTTTATGCACTCCAATTCGAAGGAAACATTTGCCTAGGGATATAACAAACAATGGAGTTTTATGAACAGAAAGATATTATATTTTCCTGAACAATGAGGTCTAGATAGAATCAAAAACCGATTGAATAAAATAGAAATTTTCAAGATTTTGCAAATCCATCGGGTATCAAAATCTGAACTTTTTTCAGTTTCAAGGTGAATTTTGCCCCTTAAAATCAGGAGCCGTTTTTAATTGAGCTACGACGACAGCCTATTTTTTCACGACTACACAATCGACTCTAGAAAAATAAAATATATCTATATTAAAACCAGTAAAGAAAGTCTTAAAGTCGGGCGGGCCGACTTTATGATACCCTACACCACTTTGCTAATTAAGTAGAGCTCCACATAACAATCAAAAGTTTTTATGGGAGAATTCAATCATACACGCTATGATTATAATTATAATTTAAAGTTCAAAGAACTAAATATGCCGAAGCATTTGTATCTTTTAAATTCGGAATTGTATTGCCCATTTGGTGCACAATTAATTTGAAATCGGATAAAGATATATATGGGAACTATATACAAATCTGAACCGATCTCGATAAAATTTGGCAAAGATATTTCTGAGCTGTATTTGATATATTTCCCTGAATATCGTTGTTACGGAGTGCATATTACGGTTGTGGGTAACAAATATAACAAATTGGATGAATAATATATATGGAAGCTATAACTATATCTGAACCGTTCTTCACCCAATTTGACATACTAGCTTCTAGACTCAATTCGGTCGTAAGTGCCAAATTCCATCCCATTTGGACAAATATTAGACGTTTGGTGCACAATAAAAGGTAAATCGGACGAAGTTATATATGGGAGTTATATCCAAATCTGAACCGATCTCGATAAAATTTAGCAAATGTATTTCTGAGCTGTATTTGATATATTTCCCTGAATATCGTAGTTACGGAGTGCATATTACGGCGGCGGTGGAGAAAAATAACAAATCGGATGAACAATATATATGGGAGCTATAGTTATATCTGAACCGATTTCGCTCAATTTTGGCACACATATTTTCAGGCCTAATTTGGGTGTATGTGCAAAATTCCATACTATTCGGGCTTATATTATACGCTTGGTGCACAATAAAAAGCAAATTGGACGAAGATATATATGGGAGCTATATCTAAATTTTGACCGATTATCTCCAATTTCAATAGGGTTTGTCCTTGGGCCAAACAAACGATTTGTGCAAAATTTCATCTGGATAGGGCAATAAATGCGAACTGTACTATGTTTACAAAAATACATGGACAGACGGACGGACGGACATGCATAAATCGACTCAGAATGTGATTCTATGCAGATCATCGAAAGGAACTATGGGTCTATCTAGTTTCCTTCTGCCTGTTACAAACAAATGCACAAAGACATAATACCCTGACCACCTTGTGGTATAGGGTATAAAAATTCTGCATACACAGTATACATTTAAGTAAAATTTTATCAACCTACTTCATTTCGTTCGGAAGCTAGAGTGATTTCCACAGACGGATAGGCGGATGGACATCGCTTAATCGACATAGAATTGTATGCTGATTAAGAATATATATAATTTGTAGGGTCTAAAATGTATATTTCGAGGTGTTACAAACGGAATGACAAAGTTAATATACCCTCCATGCTATGGTGGAGGGTATAAAAATGACCAAATCAAATGGCTCATGAAATTTTGGGAGAGGTTCCGTAGGTGTCAGATATGGCTGGGTTTTTGAAAATTCGTACTAGACCGGAACGAAAATGACTAAATATGGATACCTTAGTATTTGAAGAACCAGTAGAGCTAGAACTGTTAAATTTGGAATGAGGGTCACTTAAAGAGTATATGATGGATGCATCAAATGGTTTTTGGAAGTTCTCACTATAAGTGTACGAAATATTTTAAAATGTACCACATTTGGACACTTCGTATCATAGCAAAGTTTGAGCTAAATATTTGGAATGAGAATAAAGGTTAAGGAGTAAGGGTCGATATATGAAGGTAGTTTTGGGGGAGTGTGCTCATTTATACGAATAGTATTAAACGGTACTAAATTTGGTACAATTTGAATTTAAAGGAACGGATGGAGCTGGATAAAAAAATAACAGAACTGGCGGAGTGTAGTATCGGGATATGGACTTAGTTTTTGAAATTTGCACTTATGTCACGAATAGTACTAAATGGTATTAAATTTGGTATAATTTCGATATATGTGAACGATAGAGCTTGAATGCGGAAATTTGGAAATAAGATTACTTTTTGTACTAAATGTTACTAAATTTGGCACAATTTAAATTTTGGGATTATCGTTAGAGTTGGAAAATGTTCTAATAAGGTTCCCATTGGATTATATGATGTATTTAGTTATGCAAATTTGTATTTGTGTACTAAATTTAGTAGAATGTGAATTTGGGTGAACCGATAGGGCCGACATCCTGAAATTTGGAGTCTTGAAATTTTTGAGGTGAGGGTCCGCTGGTGTCAGATGAGGCTGGGTTTTTGAAAATTCGTACTAGATCTAAACCGGACCGGAATGACTAAATATGGATACCTTAGTATTTGACGAACCTGGAGAGCTAGAACTCTTAAATTTGGAATGCGGGTCATATAAGGAGTGTATTATGGATTCATCAAATGGTTTTTGGAAATTCATACTAGAAGTGTACGAAAAGTTATAAAATGTACCACATTTGGACATTTCGTATAATTATGAATGGTTACAGCTAAATATTTGGAATGAGAATAAAAGTTAGGGAGTAGGGTCGATGTATGGAGGTACAGGGTGAAATAAAAAACTGCAACAAAGTCAATCGTCATAATTTTTACATTTTTTTTAAATTTTATTGAATGAAACAGAAATGTCGGATATACCATCAAATTTTTGGCACGATTTAAGGCCTTCACACGGCCAATGAAACCGTCACGGTATTTTGGCCAATTTCCGGCGAAGCGCTTGCTTGAGGTGATCGACACGTTGGTATTTTTAAGTGTCAACCTTGCTTTCCAAAATACTCCAGACATAATGATCCAACGGATTGGTATCCGGAGAATCTGGTGGCCATTGTGCGCTGTAAAAGAAACGAAGAAGCTCATTTTGTAACCATTCTTGGGAGGCGCTTGCTGAGTGCGATGGTGCTGAGTCCTGTTGGAATGTCCAAGGTCTGCGGATAAAATGTTTGCGTGTCCAAGGCTTCAATACACCCTCCAGAATATTTTCGCGATAATATTCGGCAATTATTCTGAAGATTTTGGTGGCCATTGTGCGCTGGAAATGAAGCGAGGAACCTCATTTTGTAACCATTCTTGGGAGGCGCTTGCTGAGTGCGATGGTGCTGAGTCCTGTTGGAATGTCCAAGGTCTGCGACTTAAATGTTTGCGTGTCCAAGGCTTTAATACACCCTTCAGAATATTTTCGCGATAATATTCGGCATTTATTCTAATTCCACGGTCGATTAATACGATCGAAGAGCAACCATCGGCTGTTATGGTGGCCCACACCATCACCATGGCCGACGCTTGAGTTTTGATGGCCAACCGAAGGTGCACATTTTCAGCTGACCTCTTTGGCAAGTAAACACTATCATTTTGGTTGTTTACAAACTGCTGGACAACGAATGTTTTTTTCATCGGAGAAAACCAGATTCGGTAGTTCACCACCTTCGGCTTAGCGAAGAAACTCTTTAACTCTTTTGAGTCTATTTTCTTTCTACTGCGGTGTAAGTTCTTGCACTTTTTGCAATTTAAATGACTTTACCCCGAGCTCATTTTTCAATATTTGACGAATGGAATATTGCGATACATTAAGCTCACAGGCGATTTTTCGGCTACTGCGACGCGGGTTTCGATCAAGTCGCTTCTTTACTTTTCGAACCATTTCTGCTGATGTTGCTGTTTTCTTCCGTCCACTTCCTTGACGTCGGGCTACGCTACCAATACGACGGTCACGAGCGATGATACGAGACACAAACGATTTATTCAAATTTAAATGCTGGAGTGCGATAGCCACTTGTCGTTTTCCAGCCAAATATAAAGAAATCACACTATCACGCTTGAATTCCAACATGAATAACTTTTTTTCTGGAAAATTCTCACCGAAATGCTTTTATACGCTTGAAAACAATATAATGACCTGTCACTGAAAGAATTTTAACTGCTCTCGGACAAGGGGCTTAAAAATGACAACAGTCTGAAGTTGATTGCAGTTTTTTGATGTCACCTTGTTGTATGCATTTCCAAACCCAACCCCAAATATCTTACCCAAAAATCAAATTTCAGATTTTTATTTATATTTTTTATACCAAAACCTAATTTACTGCCATTTAGTACTTTTCGTACAATTATAGTAGGTATTTTTAAAACCAGGCTACACATGAACAGCGATTCTAATACTAAATATCAGATTTCAAGCACTTTCTGTTCACCCTATACCGAATGGTACCAAATTTAGTGCTTTTGGTGCACTTGTAGTACAGATTTCCAAAACAATCGCTCCTAAACAAAATTTTAAAATTCCAGTTTCATCCGTTGAAAAAATGACAACCGCATGTATATTTACCTCTTGATACTTGGTATTTTCACGATTTTAGGCTTATTTTTAACTGAATTGTT